TCTTCACTGAGGAGGCAACACAGAAATTGGAATTTAGCTATTTCAGCAGTTACATCTCGCCTAGCGAACGCATCATAGATGAGGTGTTGGCATGCATACAGAAGGATCGGCTGGCGTTGATCAGTTTGAAGCACCGTCATCGGATTTATGTATGTGAAAGGTCGAGCGCATGTTGCAGCAGTTGAGTCAGTGATAGTGATAGTGTGCAGACTTGGTCTTTACGAAAATCGCTGTCTAATCCGCATTGCACGAATCTGGTGGACAAACCGGAAAACTAATGCTGAGATTTTGGAAATTGCAGTCGCTCACTGGGGTAAGTGCTCAGCCTTTAAAGACTAAGACAGCTGGGGCGTGTTAGACGCGTCATCATTCGTTTTGCCCGTTCACCCAGCTTCACGAATCGATGGCAAACGTTTCATCATTAACCGAGGTGACATCTTTAGTGCTTGTGGAGTAATCCCGTATTCAGTGGTATTAGTCAGGATAGTCCGCGGTCAGATACAGTGCTTGACGAAGTTGAGGGCCGCGGTGGTTTTCATGCGCCCACTCAGTTTTTTCAGTCTTCATCTGCCTCAGTTCTCTAGTGGTTCCAGCATTCTAATTTTCTTTATACTCCATCCCAATGGGCTTTCCATCGACGGTAACCGAAACCGCTTCAGGAAAGTGCTTGTTTTTTGGTGGTGTGAATCGCTCCCTTAAAGCATATTGTGATAAGTCGAAGGCTCGTGGACCGGGTGAAAGCAAATGTATGGACCACTAGTGAACAACAAGGAAGCTGTCGCCAACTGTTCGCCTTTAGCTTATTACTATTAAGGAATCAGATCCTTTTACGAGTCGAAAATTAATCGCTTAACAAGTGCAACGAGGAACGGGTTATACCAGGGCTGAGCGAAACGTTTCCCGATACGCTGTACACGTGCAGATGACTGCGAGGAAACGTGAACTGTAATCTATTTTGAATATTTTTCAGTGATTTGAACGCACAAAACCAAATACCAACAACTGAGCACAGCTCACAAGGACTGTAAGGATGAAACCTAGTCGATATCACTGGAGGGCGATGATTTTCTACGACTACAAATGTAGTTTAACGAAGCAGTGTGAATAGTTTGCGAGTTGCCTTTGATGATTGCTGAGGAAGCCCTACTCACTGCCTTCTCACGGCGGAGGTGTTTTCCCACTAAAGTGAGAGGACAAAAAACCGACATCCGGGGCTATAACCGGGTTGGACCACTGGCAGTTCACCTACGGGAGTCGGCCAAAAACCCTGATTCCAAACCAACCATGAGGAGGCGTACGAACCACGCCCACACCTTTTCGGTTGTGGCAGTGGTCACCGGCTCGATTGGGCATTAAGGTGTATTGGGCACCTTGGACGTCTG